TCCAAATTAAAGAGTTTGAAAGCTGTCACTCCTATTCCCACAATAGGAAAAAAGCTGAGCAAGCTAAAAACCAAGAACTCTGCTTAGGTCCAAAAGAGATTGAAGTCCCAGGGCAGTCTGCAGCCCCAAAAACTGGAAGGGGATTGGGGCGCCTGGGTGGCTCAGTTGGTTAAGCGACTGCCTTCGGCTCAGGTCATGATCCTGGAGTCCCGGGATCGAGTCCCACATCGGGCTCCCTGCTCAGCGGGGAGTCTGCTTCTCCCTCTCCCACTCCCCGTTCGTGTTCCCTCTCTTGCTGTGTCTTTCTCTGTCAAATAAATAAATAAAAAATCTTTAAAAAAACAAACAAACAAACAAAAAACTGGAAGGGGAGGAGAATACTAAGAATCATAGCTTACTAGAGACATGTCCAGGAGCAGACCCACCCACTCTTACAATATTGTTAGGATTTCTGCTTTGGCATCAGTCTCTAATTTGGGAAAAGTCTCTGTGATTATTACTTCAAATGAACAAATAGGATTTATCCCAGGTAAGCAGAGCTGGTTCAACATTCAAAAAGCAATTAATGTAATTAACCACACCAGCAGTCTAAAGAAGAAACATCATATAATCATATATGGAAAAAAGTTGATAAAATCCAACACCCATGCATGATAAAACATCTCAGCAAAGTAGAGACAGAAGGGGACTTCCTCGGCTTGATATAGGACATCTACAAAAACCTACACCTACCATTACAATTAATGGTGAGAAACTAGTTGCCTTCCTGCTAAGATTAGGAACAAGGTAGGATATCTGTTCTCAACACTGCTTTTCATCATGTGCTGGAAGTCCTAGATAATACAATAAGACAAGAAAGTGAAAAAAAAAAAAAAAGGTATACATATTAGGAAAGAAAAAAAAATCAAACTGTCTTTGTTTACAGATGACATGCTGGTGTCTGCAAAAAAAATCACCAAGAATCAAGAGGAAAACTCTTGGAACTAATAAGTGATTGTAGAAAGATTGCAAGGTATAAGGGTAATATACAAAACCAATAGCTTTTGATATCCCAACTATGCACAATTAGAATTTGAATTTAGAAACACCAGCATTTATATTAGCAACAAAAAATGGATACTTAGGTATAAACCTAACAAATAGGTATAAGAACAATATGAGGAAAACTGCAAGTTTCTGATAAATGAAATCAAAGAACTAAATAAATGGAGAGAATATTCCACTTTCGTGGATAGGAAGGCTCAATATTGATGTCTGTTCCTCCCAGATTGATCTATAGATTCAATATAAACTCAGTCTAAATTCCACCGAAGTATTTTGTGAATATCAACAAATTGATTCTAAAATTTATATGGAATGGCAAGAGACCCAAACTAGCCAACTCAATATTGAAGGAGAACAAAGTTGGAGGATTTAAGACTCTCGGCTTCAAGACCTACTTACTATAAAGCTGCATTGATTAAAACAGCATGGTTTTGGTGGAAGAATAGAAAAATCAATGGTACAGAACAGAAAGCCCAGAAATAAACCTGATCTTTAACAAAGGAGCTCAGGCAATTCAATGAAGAAAGGTTAGTCTTTTCAATAAATGGTATTGGAACAACTGGATATCCATATATAAAAAGAAAAAAAAAGAATCTAAACACAGACCTTATACCTTTCACAGATATCAACCCAAAATGGATCATAGACCTAAATGTAAAACACAAATGTATAAAACTTATGGAAGATAACATACGAGAAAAATCTAGGTGACTCTGGATATGGCAATGACTTCTTAGATAAAATGCCAAAAGCATAATCCATGAAAGAAACATCGGTGAGTGAAGCTTCATTAAAATTATAAGCATATCCTCTGTGACAGACACTGTCAAGAGAATGAAAAGAAAACACAGACTGGGAGAAAATATTTCCAAAACAGATCTCTGATAAGACATATTATGCAAAATATGCAAGAACTCTCAAAACTTAACAAAAAGAAAGCATACAACTCAACTTAAAAGTGGGTGAAAGATATGAACAGACATCTTGCTAAAGAAGATATACAAATGACAAGTAAGCATTAATGCATGCTTCATATTATATATTATTAAGGAAATGGGTATTAAAACTACAATGAAGTACCACTATGCACCTATCAGAATGGTGAGATCCAGAACACTGACAACACCAAATGCTGGTGAGGATGTGGAGCAACAGGAACTCTCTCTCATTGCTGATGGAAATGCAAAATGATATGGCCAGTGTTTCAGGGGGAGGGATGAAGAGGTGGAGCACAAAAGATGTTTAGGGCCCTGTAACTACTCTGTATGATACTATCATGGCGGATACATGACATGATGCATTTGCAAAAACCCAATGGAATGTACGACACAAAGAGTGAGCCCTAATGCATGCCAACTATGGATTTTAGTTAATAATAATGTATCAGTATTAGCTTATCAATTATTACCAATGTACCACGCTGATACACAATATTAATAATAGGGAAAATAGTGTGCCTGTCGGAAGGGGGAGTGGTTCTCTATGGAAATGCTGTGTACTTTCTTTGCAATTTTTCTGTAAGCCTAATAATGCTTTTAAAATTTAAGTGCATTAAGAGAAATAAGATTATCACTTGTTTATTCTTAATAATATTTCCCCCACAATATATCATTTATTATTCACTGTGGGCTTTGAAGAATATTAGTATTTTACTCATATTAAGCAAAATTGAAACCTTGATTAAAGGATTTCTGTTGAGAGACAAGTGGAGCCCACTTAATACTTTTTAAAATCCCCATAGACGTGACATCCCCTTTTATTCCTAGTTTAGTCAAAGAATAATTACTGAAGTAGTATGCTCAGTACTGCAATAAATACTTTAAAACTTCGAGAAGTGTGGACAGCAGCTCTTGTGTTCAATCTTAGCGTGGTGACATGTCATACATTAAAAAAAAAAAAAGGTGTAAGAGATGTCACAAGCCAGCATAGCATCAGGTGCAAAATAAGTGCTATGAGAAAAGAGAGGGGTGCTTGGAAGGGTTCAAAGTCACTTTTTCTGAGGGGTGTCCTGGCCCTCACCAAGCTCTTAGGAAATTGAATTGCTCTCTCTTCTGTGTGCACATGAAACCTGACTTAGCCCGACGTTGTTACGCATTATACATAATGATTTTTAAGTGATGCTGGTGAAGTATTGTGTTATAAGATACCTCACAGAAAACTTAAATCGCTAAGTTAGGATAATAGCACCAGTTCAACATGCTCAGAAAATTAGAATTATTTGGGACTGGGGAAGGGAAGGGAGGAGATTTGTCTAGTCTCTTAAAAAAAACTATTGACACACAATGTTCTCCCTTTGGTTTTCTCCATGGGTCATGATCTAGTGAGAGTTTGTACCATAGAAAGAGAAAGTTCTAGACAAGTCCCCCTACTCCATGAGATCACAATCCTGCCCACACAGAACTTCATTTTCTAATCTGTGAAATGGGCGAATAAGACCCGCCCCAGAAGATTGCTTTAAAGGCCAAATGAGATGGAAGGCACCTAGCATGCAGATAGGTTTTAAATATTCTTTTTTCCTTATTAAGTCATTGAACTAACTGAAATAAAGACAGCAAAATAATTGGACATCAGAAAAACTGGAGTCTTAACCATAGCCCACCTACTTACTAATTCTATAATTCTGCTTCAATTATTTAATTTCTCCAAACCCCAGTCTTCTCATCCCCCAACCCCCCACCCCCGACCAAAAAAGATAAGTATGTATTTTTGGAGTTTTATGTCAATGAAATGAGGTCATTTATATGCAGCTTTGAGTTCAGCACTAGGAGCAAAATAAGTGTTCAGTAAATAATAGGTGCCTATTATGGACTGATTTGTGTCTCCCCACATTCGTAGGTTGAAGCACTAACTCCCAAGGTGACTGTATTTGGAGATGGGGCTTCCAGGAAGTAATTAAGGTGAATGAGGCCATAATGAGTGAGGCCCCAATTCAATAGGACTGGCATCCTTATAAGAAGAGAGACACAAGATCCCTCTCTCTCTTTGTCTCTGCCTCCCACCCTCTCCCTCTCTCAATCTTCATGCACACAGAAAAAAGACATGTGTGTACATAGTGAGAAGGTGTCCATTGGCAAGCCAAGGAGAAAAGCCTCAGGAGAAACAACCCTGATGGGACTTTGATCTCGGACTTCCAGACTCCAGAATTGAGGAAATAAGTTTCTGCTTTTTAAGCCTCCTGGTTTTTGGCACTTTGTAATGGCAGCTCTAGCAGACTAGTATGATGCTAACACTTTATATAGGAATTTCTTCCCTCCTACCTTTCCCATCGATCTTAAAACATCCTCCGTGAGGTTGGTTCTGTATTCCCGCATCTACAGAGAAACTGGACATCCACAGGTTTAAGTGGAATGGGGGGTCCACAGTTTAGTTCAGATCCCCAGGCTTGACTTAGTTCTGCTCATGTATAAAAAACTGTGCTGTAAATACTATTCTGTCCAGGTAAGAGGAAACTACTGTGTAGCTTGGGTGTAACACGTTCTATCTATGGCATATGATGTGAGTTGTTGCGCACTGATTTGCTCCTACTTTCTGTATGTGTATAGTGTAGAGAAAGTTGCCTGGTACATGTACAAAGTGATTGTGGTTCACATCTTTGGGTGGAAGGATACCTGCAATGTATTGTTTCCCTTTTTTATGATCTTTATTAGTGATTCTGCATGTATGTATTTTGCCATGAAAATATGTATGTTTAAAAACATTGACATCAACACAAAAATGAATTGCACTGAAGTTTTGTGGGCATGCTGTGTGCAAAATAAAATAAAGCAAATCCTCCCAAGAGTTAATTAGGGGGACATGTTCCCTTTTCCTCACTCCGCATTGGCATGCTGATCATGCATTTTTGTCCATTGTGGGGCCTTTCCCCTGCTCTTTGTCATCTTCCTACGTGCTGTCACCAGCACAGCTTCTCATCTTCAGAACACGATCCTCTGGCTGCCAGGGGTGAATTCACTTACCGTTTATCTCTACTGCTTCATGTCAGTCCCACCCACATCAAAGTATGCTGATGATCCATATGAGCACTTTACAAATGAATCATTTCTTTCCCCTCAATCATCTCTGGCTCCTCATAAGCTCATAGCCTTCACAGAAGATAAATTTTAAGCCATGTTCCAGACTTTCTCCATAGAATGTCTCCTCTGCCATATTTTATTAAAAGATTGATCTTCCTTTTCTTGGGTAATAGCCATGTAATCTGCCCCTCTTGGTTATCTGTTTCTTAGGAAAAGTCCTAGCAGCAGTGGGCCAGGACCTGAGAAGCCCTAAAATAATCCCAGACCGGCTGTTCTTGCTTAATTCATCCTGCCTGCTGTTGCTGGGAGGGTAGAAATGCAAACTAACTGCAATCCAGCGAAGTCTGGACAGACCAGTCGTACTTGGAAATACGCTCTTGCTGCTAAAAGAAATTTCCAGATAACAAAACATTAAAATAACACAATGGAAACAAACCTAAATAGAAAACAAGCTTTTAAAAATCCCCTTTTGCCCCAAAGAGATTCTCCTAAAATGCTTTTATCCCCCTCATTGGGGTACCCCTCTCTTACCAACCTGATGATCTACCCAGAGGTCTACACAAAACAGATGTTTCTGAGAGGTAAGAGAAGAGCGTCACTTTCACAACCAGCAACAAGACACTATTTCACTTTCTAAAAGCTCATCAAGGAGCAGGCTTGCCAGTGTGGACCTTTGGCAAGGAAGTGGAGCCATCGGTGGGCCCTGGAATCCTGCCCATGTGGAGGTGTGTGGGCAGATGCATGTCCCATCCCAACACCCAAGGCCACACTGTCTCTCTCCCTGGTGATGAACTAGTTTGTGCTCAAACATGGGTGCCACATGCTCTTGGCCCTCGGGGACTCCACATACCTTCACTCATAATGACTTTCCTACCTTTACTGAGTTCATTGAGTCCTTTTTCAGCAGTGTGATAATTGTAGTTCTCTATTTTAAGAGCAGTCCACACAGGGAGACGGGGAGGGCACTCTGCTCCGTCGATGGTAGCCGGACCTGGATTCTCTGCAGTCTTTCTAGGCACCATGACTCAGTCAGCAGTAAGCAACATAGGTTTTCCCAAATAAAGTTAATTTTTTGGAAAGTATAACTATTAAAGCACTTTGTTTATCTACTGGAATGTCATCATCTTAAAGAGGGTGTCTCTGTACTGAGTATTGTTTGTTCTGTTTGCTGTAACGACATCTTCAAGCTGGGCAGCATGAGGTAATGAGGCACCAACAAAGGAAACGGTCTCAGGAAGCAGGGAGCTGGTTTCAGTTTTCCTGGTTTTGTTGCCTTGCACTCGTAGGTGAGTCACAGCTCTCCTCTGGTTTTCCGTTCACTCTTCTGTTACATGGAGACCTAGTGAGGAAGTATGAAATATTGAAATAATAACACATTGAAAGACCACTGGAGGGACTTGGTTGTCCGGTAGCGAGGCTGGCGCTGGGAAGAGCACACCAGCGGTGTGCCTACTGCTTCCCTCAAAGGAAATCATCTTAAGACATCTATTGCATTTGCAGGTGAAAGAGATACATTTGTAATCCTAAAATACAAAACATAACATTTTCAAGGAGAAAACTAAAATGGAACTATAGGCACATAAATGAGTTTCATTTTAAGTATAACAGTTTGTTGAAAAAGAAAAGTTAACACAAGCAAAATCATCTAGTGTGCTTGAGAAATATTTGGACCAGATGATGGACATGTTCTATCCTAAAACTGCTATGGTGATCAGTTTCTGCATTGATGCTTTCAACAATGAGGACTTTTTTTTTTTTTTTTTCACTGAAAAGAGCCAAGCTGATAAAAAAAAAATAGTAAGGATCACTACTTTGCAGAGTGGCTCCAGAGCCAATCGAGACAGTGCAGCTAAACCTCTGGTGCAGGCAACCAGGAGAGAAGCCTCAGGGGCAGCTGCCTCTCTGAGGAAAGGGGTGTCCCCATTGGTCCAGGGCTCCTCTGTAAACAAGCATGTGATGGGACTGAATCCTCCAACCTGTGCCCTCAGCATTCATGAAGAAACCTGGTTCCCATCAGCTCCCCGGCGGAGATGCTATACTCTTCCAGCATTTGGTTCCCTTATCTTGGGGCCATGTTGGAACAATCTTAGAAAATGGGTGGATACTCATTCAAAGCATGTGTTTGCCCACGTGGTCATCACGGATGGTCACTCAAGTTACAGCTGCATATGACATGCCTGTAAATGGTCAGTATTTAGTAATATGTCAATAGAGGCCATCTCCATGGGGCTAAACCCAGTCCACAAATAACAGGTACGTGAATGGGATCATGATTTGAGCTAACAGGAAATTTGTTCAGAAGAGGAATTTAGTTTAGGACACACTTTTTTTGTTTTCCCTAAATAATGTCATCTAATATTTTTTAACTATGTACAGAGGGAAAATACAAAGTATGAAATCGATGGAGATTTTTCAGTACCATGAAGGGAAGTTTGAAGGTTAACAAAGTCATGTTTTAGCATATTAGAAGTATATGAAAACACCAAAAATCCATTTCCTTTGAGGACAAAAAAGTAATAATTTAAAATAGAGCCCATAAGACATTCAGGGGAGAAAATCTGGGGAGACACTAAGGGGAGGATTCTGGGAAGATGCCACCTAAACATGCCTCGCTCGCCTTTCACTACCAGCTCGACTTCATTGAACTGTTCTCCTGTGTCTGTCATCAGCACTGGAGTCCTCTGCAGTAAATCGCATAAAGCAGTGAGTCTTGAAAGTGCTCAGGCTAATGAGATCTGGAGACCCCTATGGAGGAGGTCAACATAGACTCTGCCTGAGCATGCTTAGGTGCCCTGGCCTCCTACAGGTGAAGAAATAATTGAATGGGGCAGAGCCCTTTCCGTTCCAGAATGTCAGAGACAGAAAGACAGGTGAATAGGAATGAGGCCTCATCCAAGCATTTCAGGAGGTGGCTGAGATTCTGTGGCCTCTGTACTAGTGGCTCATGGAAAGAGGAACCATTTTGCCTTTCTCTAGTTTTACAAGTGCCAACACTTGGGTGCTACAAAAGCCAGATCTGAGTTGCAGGAAACAAGCAAAGCAAAACACCACACATCTGAGAGGTCTGCACCAGAGAAAGGAAGAACGGTCACAACAAAGACCACACCCTTTTAGTGAAATGGAACCACAGATGATGGCTCCAATGGAAAATATCCAGGTGTTGCACTAAAAACATTCTCTGAAGCTAAAATCTAAATTATTTTCTAGATGAATTGAAAAGAAGATGGTTATTGTTGAACACCAAATTAGAAACCGGGAAAACCAAGTCTAAAAAATATCTCCAAGCACAGAACAAAACTGTGGAGTTGGAAATCGTGGGCAGAAAAGTAAGCCCAAGAGAAAACTATGAGAAAAACAGCAACTCTGGAAGGAAAGGAAGAATTAGTGGACTTGTGGAAAATTTCCCAGATATGCCTCGGATAAAAATGAGTTTTAAGGAATAAAGAGGCAAATACAGAAATAAATGAGAAGACACTGAAACATCCTAAGTCTGTAGATCAAAGGGACTTCTTTAAAGATACTGGAATACCATCTTGAGACAATATATGAGAAATGCCAATCATCTTTCAGAACAAAAGGAAATGTGAAAATGCAGTCATTTGGAAAATGTATCAGCCTCTGCTCCATCTGAAAGAACTCTAGGGGAAATCCTGACACCAGAGAGCAAATGCATTATAACAGAGAGCTCCGGGTGGGCAATAAATACTTTGCAAATGGAAACAAAAATGAAAGAAGGACAATCCGGGAGAACCTGAACTTTAAATTTAAAAACACAAAAGAACTAAAAAAGAGGAACATTCTGTTTTTCATATGTACCAAACTATATAGGCCTGAGTAAATAAAGCAAAATCTAAACTGCTAATATTATAACTTTAGAGGGATATTTTAATCTGCTTCTTTAAGATCTGGGCAGATCTGAAAGACAAAAGCATTCCATAAAATAACTAAATAATTAAATGAATAAATGTGGTTTAGTTGTTATATGCCAAATCTTACATTCCTTGAAAAGATAATTTTTTTGTTCACATTTTTATGGAAACTATACAAAATCAACCCCTTTCTTGGCCCAAAAGAATTCTTAAGTACATTTTTAAAAATAAATGTTTATTGAGTTCATTCTGTGAACATGAACTATTAATGTCAGAAATAATTAATAATAGAAAAGAGCTAAAAATTAGAATCCCTTGGGAATTAAGAAGCACATTCCCAGACAGAATACTCTTGGATCAAAGGGAAAATCAAAAGGACAATTACAACCATGGGGAAAGTAATAAAGAAGAACATTCTTCCCAGTTAAACCTATGGGACAAAGTGAAAGCAGTCCACAGAAGAGGACAAAAAACACAAAAACCTGACACGAAATATCATCATTATTTACAAAGAAAGTAAAAGAATAGAGAGAATTTGTGCTCATCCTAAGAATATAGAAAATAATTTAAACAAAGAGCAAATAAAAAATGGAAATTCAAAACAAAAGCTAAAACTAATAAAAAATTTTAAAAAGCAGAAATTTTAAAATCCAAATCTAATTTAAGTCAACTTACTTACATTAATGTTTCATGGGCTTGTTTAAAGGAGAAAAAGAGAAGGCAGAAATACACCAAATTAGGAGACAAGCAGGGAATAACCATCAATATGGAAGTGATTGAAGTAGTCATAAAAATATATGTCTATGAAACTTTCTGACAAGACATTTGAAAATTTAGAGGAAATGGATGATTTCCCAGCAAAATATATATTGCCAAAATTTACCCAAGAAGAAAGGAAGGGGAAACTTAAATACATCACTTACCATAAGAGAGTTTAGAAAAAGACACTTGAAGATCTACCATTGAAAAAGGCACTGAGAACAGATGGATTCCCAGCTGAGGTTTATGTAACATGAATTTTATATAACCTTAAAGAAAGAGGGCTTTTCAAAGTTAAATTATTCCAGGCCTTAGAAAAAAGATGAAAGGCCTCCCCGATTCACTTTACAAAGGCAATATAACTCTTTTAAAAAGCTGATAAAGATAGAACAATAAAGGAAAACCGCAGATAGATCTGATTTATGAATAAAGATGAAAAAATCATTATAGTATTAGAAATTATATTGCAGCATAACTTCTTTATTTATGGAACAAATTTTATATGGAGCCCCTAACATGTTTCATGTCACCAAACAAAATAAATAGATAATAAATACCTAATATGTTAGATGGTGACACATGGAATGGTGAAAAACTAAACAGAGTGCTGATAGGAGAGGTTTGTTGGGAGGGACTGACCATTCAGGTGACCTCATTAGATTTGTCAGAGACGGCAATTCTCAGGTTATTAGTAAAGACTAAAAACAGGTGAGAGAGCATCAGCGATGGGGGGCTGAGATGGGTGGGAACTCCATTCCAGGCAGAGGGAAGAGCCAATGCAAAATCCTGAGGAGCAACCCAAAGACAGTGTACCTGGATAAAAATAAACCAGGAAGAGAGTGCAAATGATTTGATCAGAGAGATAATGGGGCCCAGACCCTGGAGGGCATCACAGGCAATAATGAGCATGTTTCTGAAGCCATTGGAGGTACTTTCAACATGGAGCTGTCATTGTGTGACCTCCCTTTCAGCAATGTCACTCTGACTGCTGCACTGAGATTGGATTGAAGGGGAACAAGGTTGAAGTCAGGAAACCAATTAGGAAGCTTTTGCAATAATCCAGTCAAGAGTTGTAACAGTAAGGAGGATGGGAGATGATGTGAACTTTCATATATTTTTAAGATAGAATCAAAAAGTTATCTTGGTGGATTGAATTCTGGATGTGAGGGGGAAAAAAACGAAGCGATAAGAATACTCTGAAGATAGTGCCTGAGAAGCCTGCACGAAGAAATAACCATAGTGAGCTTAAAAGACTATGCGATCAAGTCTGGGTAGGGATGGGGAAATGTTGCAAGTCAAAGTTTGAAGATGTCAACTTTAAGATACCTATTAGACATCCAGATGGTATCAAATAGAAGGCTGGGTACATGAGACCTGAGTTGGTAGGGAGACTTCCTGGTTGGAAATGAAGGTCTGGGCATCTTGAGCTATAGTTATCACGAAAGCTGTGTCATTGGATGAGATTTCCAAGACAATTCGAGGAAGTCCAAGGAGGCATTCTATAATTGAGAGCTGTTTCAGTGGAGTGTGGGAGGTCAGAAACCTAATTGAATGGAGCTTGGTAGAGAACAGGAACACAGGGCTCGGAGAAGAAATACAGACAAGTCAGAGGAGTTTTACCATAAGGAAGGGAGAAAATG